AAACTAATGGGTAGGTTTTAATTATAATTATTAATTGAATCGGTGGTTGGTTTTTAACTGTAGGTAGATTATAAATAAAATGGTTGACAAACTAGTGAGGAAGCTGACGAGACAAGCTGGCAAGACAAGCTTTTTAGTTTGCCAAATCATAGTGTAAATCAATTCTATTGTCTTGTCAGACTTGCTAACTAGCTTGCTTGTCAATTACTTTAGTTTTAAACTAGTAGATTGGTAGATTCTGAAATAGCAAATATGTAGCAAACATGTAAGTTCAATTATATAGTAGAGTTAATGGGTTTAAAAAATAATTTTATAGATATAACTGTATGTCATACATACAAAAAATTTTCATATTTCCATATTAAGTTTTTTATTAATTAAACTGTGTCATATTTATTTAGTGATTGCAGATCATTTTCTTCAGGTAACTCACGGATCATCAATTAAATTTAATCATAATATGCTACCAATTAAATAAGTATTTACTTTTTCTATAGCATCAATAATAGCTTTTATGTTATTTTCAAAAAGTTTTGGCATAGTATTAATTGTTTCATAAACTTTTTGTTTAATGTTATACTAATTGTCTTCAAACTATATATATATTCTGTTTTGAATTTCTGAAGACAAATTGATGATTGATGAAAATCTCAAACTATATTTAGATATTTTTAGTATATCTATATTTTACATTAGTTTATACAATATTATTATTAGAGACGTGACAAAAATCAGATGATTTTTTAGGGAAAGAGGGGGTAAAAAAAGTTAAAATTATATGTAAGAATCTGATTTTTTTTTATATTAAAAGGGGAAGGGAGTAAGCTTCTAATAAAAAAAAATCAGATGATAAATAATACTGCTCTTACTGCATACCGAATTATACTCCTAATATATGGTGTTTATTCTTTTCTATTTTTGTCAGAAAAAATGTTTGCAACTTGAGTGATATTTGTTATAAGTATATCAATAACCTGATGTTTATCTTTTAGTTTTCAATTTGACTCATTTTTGTATCTATTTATGAACTCATCAAAAGTCATAACTTTAAAATTTTCTTCGGCTTCATTACCTGAAAACAAATCGTCTTCACTAGTATTAGTTTTATAGTCACTAAACTTTGTATGTTTGATAAATTTAAAATAAAAATAAATTTTATATGTTTTAAAAAACACTTTTTAATTAAATTAAATTATATATTAACCTTGTTTGGCAAAGTCAATGATTGTTTCTAAGGTTGCTTTAGTCTCATTTTAGAGCTAACTTTACTAATATACTCTCTTGTTTCTTGAGTTTGTGAAATGTCAAGAACCTCTAATGCATCCATTCGACATTTTTTTTCAAAGGTGGCTTTAGAAGTTGAAGGGTATATATTACAATCCAAATCATTAGTATTTCAAGAAGATCCTATTTAATATTAACACACACCTTTTTGTTTATTAGTTGTTTTTCTGGTTTAATATCATTTCAAAACTCTTCTTCTTTAAACAGATATCCCTGATAAAAAAATAGAGGCAGTTAACAAATACTTATTCATAAAAATTGTAAACTTAAATTGTAAACTTAAATAAATTCATATAGTCTTTTTGGAGAAATGACACCCTACAACTATTATACCAAGGAATGACACCCTATACTCAGAGAAAGAACTATACCTTCTCCAAGCTGTACTTCAGCAAAAAGACTACAAGATCAATACGAGAAATGACACCCCATAGCCTTAAAGAGAAACAACACCCTTTCAGGTTGCATGATATCACGTTTGGCTATTTAGAGATATAGAAAATTAACGTGTCTGCTGAAGCAAGTAAATGACTTTTATGGTGATATCCTTTTTCTCTTTAATAATAAGGCTACTTAAGTAAGTAAGATAACATTTTCTCCAGATAGATTTTTGGTCTTCTACCGTACAAGGTTCAGAAATGAGATAAGGCTTTATTGATATCAGATATCCCATATATATCTATTCTGGTGAAAGTGTATTCTTAAAATATGAAGCTATCACTTCTAAATAAAGTTTTAATAGATAATTCACCAGTCATCTGGAGAGCTATGCAACACAAATTACACAAGATTTATATATAAATTATATATAAAATCTTCAAATAGTAAATATAAAGATTTTTTAAAGAAATATAAA